TATTGGATCTGGGCCTACCCCTACATACATGAGATTTATAAATAATAAAACTTTTTTAAAACTTTGTTAAACAAAATAAAACGGAGACTGGGTAGCTAACCAATTTTAGATACGCTATTGGTAGACAATTTTCCCGAATAAAAATATTCTTTTTAAAATAAAATTTAATAAAATTAAAAGAAAAAACCAATTAACTGGATGATTTGAAACATTGAAAAAAACAAAACAATTTAATCTCCCACTATTTTTTCTAAACAGCATGCCTTCTTGCTCCAAATAAACTACCACGATATTTCTTTAATGGTTCTTCTGAAGATGTTATTGATTGAGAAGTTGATGTTGCTTGTTGATTCTAAAATAAAAATTTGAAAAAAAAATAAAAATTAATTTGTCTTAAATTTTAAGAATATCTGTATGGGAATTGCAAAAGCTGACAATGACTTTAATTTTCCTTTAAAGCTTCGTTTAAAAATTTTGAAAAACCAAAAATATTTTAAACCCCCCCCCTCCTCAAACATGTATAGGAAAAAACCATTTAAATAACCAAGCTAGACCCTAATTAACATTTAACCACCTCAATACCCAAAAATATTTTTTTTCGATTTTCAAAAATAAATTTAAAAAACCTCTTGTCCAACAATTTTTGCTCTTTTTCTAAACTCTTCAGTAGGATTATCAAATTGACTATAAAATTGAAGAACCGGTCTAAAATCTTCAACATCAGATAAATGAATTGCTTAAATTAAAAATAAAATTTTTAAGTTTTAAAAAAATTCCAAACTTTTCAGTAATTCTGCCAAATCAACTAAAGAAGTATCGTTCATATCTCCATTCCATTTAGGCACACAAAGAACATTTTCTGGATTTAACTGAAAAGCAGCAGGTTCCCAATCAATGTAAATAACCTTTTTCAAGTCTCTATTAAGTCGAGAAAGATCCTTTAAAAATTAAAAAAAAATTAAGGAAAAATAGAGAAAAGTGAAGTTTATTTAGAAGAATGATTTTTTGATAATTACTACGGCGAAATTCCCCTTTTAACATAAATTCGCCAAATAATATTTTCCTTTGAAGAGAATCTCTAGGTAGTTTATAGCAATATAAAAACGACTTTATGCTTATGAGCTGGGTGTACTAGAAGTCCTAGCCAACTTACGAAAAACGAAAAAATTTAAGAGTAAAGTATAAAGAACAAATTTTATTTCAAAATATCCAAAAATTACTTTAGGAAAGATAATCTAGCTTTTTAAAAAAATATGCGAAGCAAAAAAATAAATAGAGAGAAGTTAGAGATGAAATAAAAATTAAATCAAAAACTTAACATGTGTACCATTCAAAACCTTAACATGTGTACCATTCACATATATTTAGTACAATCTCTAAAAATTAAATCAAAACCTTAACATGTGTACCATTCACATATTTAGTACAATCTCTAAAAAGTGCATGATTAATCCGTTGTCCTTGAGGATCAATTTGAGTAACAATTGGAGCTGCCTAAAAATTAATTAAATAATTAATTTAAAAAAACAAACATTCATAAGATTTTCTGAAGTGTAAAGGACTAGTTCAAAATTTGGATATCCAATCATATCAATAAAATAATCCAAAGCTGGTCTCTTCACAAAATAATGACCTTTCTTGTACTGAAAATTAATAAAAAATAAATTATCAAATCAATTTTCGACAAAAAGCAAAGAACGTGAAAAGGGGAAAAAGTGAATTTCTGTGGCATGCGGCCCTCGAAAATTCTCAAAATTTTCGTCTGCGGTGGAGAATCAAAATTTTGTACAATTTCTCTTGGCTACGGCCCTAATTCAATAAAACGTAACGAAGCTCATTTAAATTCCATTTTAACAGTATTCAAGGAGAAAGGTTAACAATAGAGAAAAACTTTTAAACAAAAAATTAATATTCCACTTACATCCCATTGAGGACTGACTAGAACATTTCTCAATTCAAGAACAACTGTATATTTTGGCTGATGATAAGGAGCCTTGACAGGATCGGGGAGAAGCTTCTCTCTTGAAGGTTCAGCAATGAACTAAAGAACATTTTTCAAAACTATTTTAAAAATTAAAAAAAACCTTTTTCCAAAATTTAATAAAATCAAGAACACGCCAAAATGGAGCAAATTTATAATTAGAAAATTCATCAGGAAGTAATTCACCAGTAACCGGATCACGAGGTTGACTTCCTAAATTTTAATATATTATTAACAATGGATAAATAAAAGATTAAAAAAAAGAAAATTTGAAAACGGATCGGTATTGATTATTAATAAAGGAAATCAGAAAAACCCTTGACATTGATTTTGGTTGGGGACCTTGACAAGATTCTAGGCCTTATGTGAATCAAAGACAAGGAAAAATAAATTTTGGATGCAAATCCAGGCCGATCTCTATATATTAATTTAACAATTTAAGAGAAGAAAATAACTTTAAAAAATCAAACCATAAACATAAAAAACATAAGCAGTTCCAGAAATAACCAAAATTGACATAAATCCAATTCCTTTTTTGACACCCTTCCAATGCCAGTCTTGGCGTTTCTGTCTTTCCAGTTCTTCATATTTTTCCTTAATAAATTAAATTTTAAAACAAAATTAAAAAAAACTAACATTGCTAAAATGGCGATAATTAAAGGCCAAAATACTTCTTTTAGAACTTGAAAAAGATTGAAATTTGTTGTTACAAACATTTTTAGCATGACGAAATGAACGTAGAATTAAAGACACAATTAATAAAATATATCTAAATTGAATGATAAAATTTATTTTTGGAAATAGTGTCGTTTCTAGTCCCCATTTTTTCCTCCCCAATTTTTTACCCTATGTTTGTACAAAATGGTCAAATTTTCCCCTTTCTTTCATCAATTTTGCCTTTCCATATTTTGCCTAAAAACAATCAAAAAGAACCAGAAGAATCATTTTCCCAATTAATAAAAATGGAAGAATTAAAGAATTTCAAACCTATTGATTTATATGCTATTATTGATTTTAGCCTTGTTGGCGTGTCCCACTCGGGACACGGTTAAGGACGATTCAGTATCGCCGATTCAGTATCGCCAATTCAGTATCGCCGATTCAGTATACGCCGATTCAGTATCCGTCGATTCAGTATTCGCCGATTCAGTATCGCCGATTCAGTATACGGGGAAAAGGGGACGATTCAGTATACGTAGAATAAATTACCCTAAAAATTGAAATTTCGGAAAGTAACTGATTTATTTTTTTTGTTTTAAGAATTTTCTTTGTTCCTTAGGTGGTCTACCACAACAATTAGCAATAACCAACACAATTATTAATGAAAAAAATTTTTATGGAAAATTTAAAAATTTTTTTTTAATTTCTAAATTTCTTCAATTTTCTTGAAATCTTAAGACGGCGAGAATTCTACATTGAATGGCGAGGTTTCTTCTACGGACACATGGTTTATTTTTTAGTTTTTTGATTTTTTGAAAATTTTTTTACCTTTTCATTTCTAAATTTTTTAGTTTATATTGCTGATCTCCAATTAACTCCAATTAAAGGCGAGGTTTATTTATTTTTAATTTTGAAATTTTTCAAAAGAATTTTCTTGGAATTTTTTTATTTTTTAAGACCATTTTAGGGGGGTTGTCAACGACGTGTTTTTTGCTTGCACTGACTGACCAGCCTACCAAAACAATTTCAGAAAATTTGGCAACAAAAACCTTAACCCAAACGGCCCTCTTTAGGGCCACAAATCTAATAAGTAAAACGAGACAATGACTTATTTTTTGTTAAATTTTTGTTTATTTGACTCATTTTATAAAAAATTTTTTGTTCCTTGAAGAAAAAAGTCGAGACCAAAACTTGACCCTAAGCCAGAAAAAGCCTAGAGTTAAGACTCGGCTAGCTTTTAAAATGTTCCTTAGATTGTAGGAAGTAAGAAAAACGAAAAAAAATCTACAAGAAAAAGATTTTCTAGCCCAAAAATATATGTATACTGAATCGTCCCCTTTTCCCCGTATACTGAATCGGCGATACTGAATCGGCGAATACTGAATCGGCGGATACTGAATCGGCGTATACTGAATCGGCGATACTGAATTGGCGATACTGAATCGGCGATACTGAATCGTCCCCTACCCCTCGGGACACGCCCGAATAGTCGCGGACCGAATAGTCGCCGGCCGAATAGTCTCCAAGCTTTTTAATTTTCTGATTGTAATTAGACCGGCGCGGGACGGGATCCCGACGGGATTTTCCGGGATTCCGATCCCGAAATACAAGATTTTTTTTGGAATTTCGGGATCATTCGTGATCCGGGATTTTTCTCCCGTCATTGGAACAATTTCCCCCGGTGATGGACCATCTTCCCCCGTCGTTGGTACAACTTCTCCTGTCATTGGAACAACATCCCCAGTCGTTGGAACAACACTTTGGTATTCTAGACATTTTTGGGGGCCTCGCGACTATTCGGCCGGCGACTATCCGTTCGGACTTTTCGGCCGCGACTATTCGGCCCGCGCCTATTCGGGCTTTACACTGTCCACTAAAGGCAGCACATTATTTTTACTAAATACTGTGCATGTGTTTTTCTTTTATTTTTGTGCGTGCGTTTAGTTTCATCAAAATTAATGTTTTTGGATGAAAATAGTATAGTGAAAAATTAATTTCTTTTTTGGGTTTTTGGCTGTTTTTTTAAATTTTTAATAGGGTTCGACATTGGAAAGGAGACCGGGTTTTTGGGCCCGGTTGCTCGGAACCGGGTGTTTTGATAAAATCCAAGTTACCGGGAATCCGAGTTACCGGGTTTCGGGATTTTAGCCCGGAAAACTCGTCCCGTGTAAATTTGAATAAAGAACTCCGGATACCAGGCCATGCGATTTGAAAATGTCGAACTCTAATTTTTAAGTTTTAATAAAAAAATTTTTTTCCTTTTCTAGCCAAAATTTGACTTTCTTTTTTGGGCTTTTTGGCAAGGTTTCATAAAACTACGAAGTATTTACATAATCTATCTGACAAAAGATCTCAAAAAATGCGTGAAATCGTCCATATCCAGGCTGGACAATGTGGTAACCAAATTGGCTCCAAGGTTGTTTTTTAAGATTTGATTGGTACTGTTGAATTTTAAGTTCTGGGAAGTCATTTCGGATGAACACGGAATTCAACCTGACGGATCTTACAATGGAGACTCTGACTTGCAATTGGAACGAATCAATGTTTACTACAATGAGGCTTATGGTATTCTTTAAGTGTAACTAGGAATTGTTGAGGAGCGTTAGTAGGTTTAGAGGCCAGACTGGGTGAATACTCGCTCAAGTTTTTCATTAAAACATGATAGGTTCTCTTGGTTTTTGTGTCTATTTCCCAATACAGTTTTTGGGGTCTGGGGTTGTTTGGAATCTTTTCCCAATTAAAAGTTTTATTAGCAATATTGTTTTTTTAAGGTGGGAAGTATGTCCCAAGAACTGTTCTTGTTGACTTGGAGCCGGGAACGATGGACTCTATTAAAGCTGGACCATATGGAGAACTCTTCAGACCTGACAACTTTGTGTTTGGTCCAAATGGTTCTGGCAATAATTGGGCCAAAGGACATTATACGGAGGGAGCTGAGTTGGTGGACAATGTTTTGGATGTTGTTCGAAAGGAAGCGGAAGGATGTGATTGTCTTCAAGGCTTTCAATTGACCCACTCGCTTGGTGGTGGAACTGGCTCTGGAATGGGAACTTTGCTTATTTCAAAGATTCGTGAGGAGTATCCAGATCGCATTATGTCTTCCTTCTCTGTTGTTCCTTCGCCTAAGGTTCTTTTTAGCTTTTTAGACGGCTTCATTTTTCAATTTTTCAGGTCTCTGACACTGTTGTGGAGCCCTACAACGCAACTCTCTCGTTACATCAACTTGTTGAGAACACTGATCAGACTTACTGCATCGACAATGAGGCTCTGTACGATATTTGCTTCCGCACTATGAAGCTTCGAAATCCTACTTATGGAGACTTGAATCATCTCGGTATATTTTTGCTTACATTTTTCAAAATATTCCGTTCATTTCAGTTTCTATGACCATGTCTGGAGTGACTACTTGTCTTCGCTTCCCAGGCCAATTGAACGCTGATCTTCGCAAGTTGTCTGTCAACATGGTTCCATTCCCACGTCTCCACTTTCTCATGCCTGGTTTCGCTCCACTTTCGGCTAAGGGCACAGTTGCCTATCAGGCCCAAAATGTTGCGGAATTGACCAAACAAATGTTCGATGCCAAGAACATGATGACTGCTTGTGATCCACGCCATGGACGCTATTTGACTGTTGCTGCCATCTTCCGTGGACATATATCAATGCGTGAAGTGGACGATCAAATGATGTCAGTTCAAAACAAGAATCCGTCTTACTTTGTCGAATGGATTCCAAACAACGTTAAGACTGCGGTTTGTGACATTCCTCCACGTGGTCTCAAAATGTCTGCGACCTTTATTTGCAACTCCACGGCCATTCAAGAACTGTTCAAACGCATCTCTGAGCAATTCACGGGTAAACGATTTTTTCTTGTCTAAAAAACATTTTTCTCGTTTAGCCATGTTCAATCGCAAAGCCTTCCTTCACTGGTACACTGGCGAAGGTATGGATGAGATGGAATTCACTGAAGCCGAGTCCAACTTGAACAACTTGATTTCTGAATATCAACAACAGCAAGATGCGACAGTTGATGATGAAGATGATTATGAAGCTGAGAATCCTCCAGATTCACCAGAATCGGGTGAATCGAGAATTGAGCAGGCACGTCGCCAGGTATGTTTTTTTAATTTGACCAATCCAAATCCGGTAATATTGTGTGAACGGCGAACTCTAGATAGGGTTTATTTTTATTCACTTTTTAGCTTTAGTGGTTATCACCCGATAGGGCTAACTTGGTGGGTGTGATTATATGTTTCTTGTGGGGTTTGTGCTTTTTGCGCTAAACTGTGTTCTTCGTTACATCACTAGCCGATTAATTCTGGGTATCTTGAATAGCGGCGCCTTTACAATTAAATTTAGATTATCTTTGTCATTTTAATAATATTTTTTATTTTTTAGAGTAGTAGCAGCATAAAAGAAATTCCTACTGAACAACTTTCTAGTTCGTGTGATTTGAATGATGAGGATGAAAAAGAAGATTTGGACATTCGAGATCAGCAACAAAAGTTGCAACAACCTCCGAAAAGTGGGGATATTTAAATATTGCTTTTGTCAAAATAATTCTAATTTATAGGTTCAACCATTCCTTTGTCCACTTCTACTTCCTTATCGTCTACTCCAACTATTTCATCATCAAATCTTCAAGCTTTCAAGAAAATTCCAAATTTGAATTCATTACTTCAGAAGATCAACACAATTAAAAAGGAGAATACGACGACAGGAACAAGTTCTACAACCCTGCCTTCATCTATAACTAGTTCAGCAATTGAGCCTAAAGGAACTAATGATTCTACTCTCGGAGGGTCTATTGCCGAAGCAAGCAAGGTCTTAGCATCTGACAAAGTTCAAGGAGATGCTTCGGAGAAACAGTAAAATAAAAAAATTTTTTTTAAATTTTTTTCTCATAGATTGCAACGGACGAAAACTTCTTTGATTCCTCCGCCTCAAGCACCTTTATATTCTTTTACTCTAAATCCAATTGGCCATCCACCTCCTGGAAGTACTTTTCAATCTACTTTTCCTGCTAGGATGACGATGCCGGCTACTACAATTCCACCTTTTCAACAAATAAATAACACAACGATTTTTCCTCCATCAGATTTTTCTGTTCCTCCGCCTCCGATACCTGGTGTTCGATATGGTTTTACTTCAGGTCAAGGAATGCCTGTAGATGTTATACAACAACAAAATTCAACACAAGCAAATGCTCCTTCTGCAATAGAGAAGCAGGATGGTAATACTAAAAATATTTTAATTTACAAAGCATTAAATAAAAAAATTAATTTAAAATTTAATTGAAAATTAAATGATTAAATTGACTTATGTTAGTATACTTAAAAATAAAAATATTGTGCTTATTTGAACATCCTCAATGAAAAATCTTTTAATAAAAAATTACAGAAAAATCTCCTGAAACCGCCAAAGGACAGCGACGACAAATTTCTCCTATTGTTAGTTTAGATGATGGAGGTTCTCCGCCATCACTTGAACAGCAACAACAAAAATCCCCAAATCAACAGCCTGAAGGTGGTGGTGACCTTTTAAATTTTGCTGAACCTACAATAGCTGAATATTTTCGCAATGTACTTTTCTTATACATGAGTGGACGTGAAAATTACGGAAGAGAAAGTGTGGTAGGGTATTAATTAAATATGTTTGTGCTAATGAGCGGAAAAATATATTTTTCCAGAACCGGATTCCGGATTTGCAACTTGAGCCGGACTGGATACAGCCGGATTATTCCGATCCGGTTTTAATCCGGTGAGAATAATTTCCGGAGTCAGGCAGAATTTACCCGGATTTCGGACCGGATCCGGGTTTTTTCCCAGATTTTTCAAAAAGATTTTTTATTAATTTTTGTTGAAATGTTGTCAGATGTGTTGTTATGCGTTAAGATGTTGTTAGTGGGGATATCTAAAGATTTTTGAGGATTATGAAGGAACCTGGGTGATAATAGGGAGGGTATAATAATCGCTTCTGATCCCCGAATTTCTTCGAATTATCCTTAATCCCATCAGATCCCTAGATATCAAATCACGATACACCATTATAATTCTTGATATATCGAAATCCCCCAATATTACTCCAAATCCATTAATCCATACCAGGGTTGCTGCGGGTACAAAATATCTTCGGGTACGGGTATCGGGTTGGAGCGTTTTCATTTCGGGTTTCGGGTTGACAAAAATTTCGGGTACGGGTTTGGCGAAAAATTCGGGTTATTTTCGGGTGTTCGGGTATTAATTAACTAAATTGTAAGGAGACAAACTATGTTGTATAATAGGATTTTGGGCGATATAGAGAGATGCTAATCCTCCGATATGTGTACCCGCTCACTAGTTTTTCTCGGTTCCGCTCACTAGTTTTTGCTTATAATTTTTGAATTTCAGTATAGACAAGGGTTAAAAATCCCTTTTTATAAAGAATACAAGAAAACAGAAAAATACATGAACCTTATCAAATCCCAAATTTGTTACAAAAAAATCGCCGGATTTGGATTAGGATTTGGCAATTGAGCCGGACCGGATCCGGCCGGATTAATCCGGTCCAGAAAAGTTCCGAAGATCGCGAAAAAAACCCGGATTTGGGATCCGGACTCCGGAAAAATCCGGCCGGATCCGGTGCGGTTCCGCTCACTAGTTTTTGCTTATAATCTTTAGTAAAGTTCGATTTTATTTTTTTGTTTTTCAGACTCTTGCTAAAGTCATCTGCATGCTTTGCAAATTTTCACCAGAACAACGAAACTTAGTTCTTCGCCGAGAGGAGGCTCGCTGTCAACGTTAGCTCCCAGGTTCGATACATGCACTTAATTTACATCAAAGTCAAGTTAATCAGTGTTTTAAGAATATATTACTAACAAATACTAAAGATATATTATAAATTACATTAAAAATACAATTGATATTAAGTAATTTTAGTTTTTGTTCTGTCTTTTGGTTTTTCTATATCAATTGTATATGTTCGTTTTCTCACTGACTTTTTTATATAAATATTTTGTTTTATATAAATATATATACTTGCTATTTTATAGAAGTTACATTGCCTTAACTTCTAATACAGCTTCCAATTTTATATTTTCATGGTCAGTTTTTCTCGTTTTCGACTAATTTTTGTTTTTGATTTAAAAATCGTGTATTAATTACTGAATATTAGAAAATTAATTATTGTCGATATATATGATTTATCGTTCATTGTGAAAAACCTGGTTTCACAAAAATGTTTTATTTACTGAAAGTAAATATATGTAGTATGTGCTTGACCGTTGTGATTTTTTTCGTTTTTACAAAATTCTCAAAAATAAATGGGTCTCGTCCAGATTACGTGTCCAATGCAAAGTGCCCGGTTCTTTATTTTAAAGATGGTCCTGTGGGAGTGAGCGGACAATCGGGAAGTGGACATTCGGGGAGTAGCCTAACGATAAAAATACAATAGAATATTAAATAGTTTTTCTTGCTTTTGTATTTAAAAAATGGATATAGTGTAATTCACCGGAGGTTTCAATTTCAGGAAATCATTCTGGACCGAGCTATAGGTTCCTGAAAATTGAAAAACCATAGGGGGAGTAAGCTCGATTTTGGGGTGAAAAATTCGAATATGCAAGTAATAGCTCATTCGAAAGAGCTCCTCGAACTGAGTCGAATGACACTAAAGTTAGCTTGATTGAACAAGTTTAAGTCGAGATATAGGGCTCGAAATGGTCAAATACCATTGGTGGGATTTTAAGGTCAAAAATTCGAAAAAGCATATAATAGCTCATTCGAGAGATTCCTACTTTATTTTTTTAAATACAAAAGCAAGAAAAACTATTTAATATTCTATCGTATTTTTATCGTTAAGCTACTCCCAAAATGTCCACTCCCCAATTGTCCGCTCACTCCCCATTTATCCACTCCCAAAATGTCTACTCCCCAAGTGTCCACTCCCCAAATTTCCGGACACGTTTGAGAGGAATACAGACTAAAATGAGAGGAAGGAGGCAACTAAGAGCAATTGGTAGAGTAAGCAATTTGAGCAGAATAAGCATTTTTGGAGAAAAATGTTTTTCAAAGAAAAAAGGTATTAAATTTATTTTAAAGCCATTAAAATAATTTATCTAAATTTTAGGTCCTCAAACTCCCATAACACTTTCTGTCTACGAAAAACTTTCTATTCACCACGTGAGGGTTTACGTGTTCCACTCGGCTTTAAAAAAGGAAAAACAGTTAAATCAGGATTAAAGACAGGTGTGATATTTAATTTTTCTTGTCATTTATTGTATGCCCATGTATTTTAGATAAACAGCCAGCTATAACACTTCCAGCTTACGAAGAATTACCCAAGTCGTTACGTGAGGTTTTGTCAGTTTCGCCTGACTTGAAGAAAGGTAATAGTACATATAATTTGTTTTATTTATTTGAAAATAATCTCGAAAAATTGATTTTAGATCAAAAACCCGCTATGACAATTTCTGAGTACGAAAAACTGTCCAACTCTTTACGTGAAGGTGTGCCAATTCCTAAGGGTTTTAAAGAAAGAAAACTTTCTACTACGTTTATTAACAACCAAAAACCTCCAGTAATTCAACAACAAACAAAAATTCAACCAATTACAAAATCATCAAAACTTCCTCAAGCTACAAAAAATAAAAATAACGTCCAAGAAGAAGAAGTTTAAGAAAAATAAAAATGAAACTTAAATTGAAGCAAAAAATACAAAGAAAGAAAGTAAAAGGAATGAGACAATCAAAACAACTCCAAAAGTAGAAAGTAAAAAAGAAAGTCAAAAAACATCAAAAGAGGACTGTCAAAGCCTCAATTGAAGAGAATAAACCAAAAACTTAAATTAAATTTTTATTTAAATTCGAAAAAAAGTATTTTATCTTTATTGGAAAAGGAAGTAAAACAAATTAGACGAGCAACAACAAAAAATTAAATTGAAAATATTTTTAGTGAAGAAAAGGAAAATGGAAGAAATTTTATAATTTATTTTAATGGAAAACCTTTTGACGAGAATGAATTTTTGGCAAAACCAAAGAAATAAATTAAAAAATTAGTTAATTTTAATATTTTTAAATTTTTAACTGTTAACATTTAATTTCTTTTGGAAATAATTTTTATTTAATTTGTTTTTATTTTTGCTTTTATAAACCCTAAACTTATTTAGGGTTCAGCGGTACCGGTATTCCGAGAAAAAAACGGTATCGGTATTTCGGATTAATGATACCGATCCCGATACCGGTACCGACTCGGGATCGGGATTAGCCTAAATCGGTATCGGGATTTGAGTTAATGATACCGATACCGGTACCGATACCGACTCGGGATCGGGATTTAAAAATCGGTATCGGTATTTCCTAAAATTTTTTTTATTAATTTTAATCTTTAATAAATAAATTCATTCTGCATTTTGAAAAAGGTTTTAATCAGTAGTAAAATGATAAACTAGCACTATAAAGCTATTCTCGAGACAAAAACATATCAGATGCCAATAGAAGACCTTCCAAATCCATCGATATCCACTTTAATCCTCGATAATATCTTGATCCAAGGTTATACTCCGTACTCTTACATGCCCTATTTAGGCCTCGTACTCGTACCTCGTACTTTCTCGTACCTGGGAAATATTCAAAAAATTTAAAATTTTTGTGAATTTTTAGGGTCAACGGCATATAGTTCTGCATTTTTAGGGTCGTATGCATTAATTCTTGAAACTTAGAAGGAAGGCTTTGAAGCCATAAATGCTCCTATTATTTCCATTCCTTGCGCCGCAGGCGAAAATTTTGAGCATTTTGATGTCCAAGGACAATATTTCTACCTAAGATTGGTCTATTTTCAACCCGAATCCCCTACTTGTGAATTTTTCAACCCCAGACCCGAATCCCTCTTCTACCATCAAATCCCTTTCTGCGCCGCAGGCAAAAATTTTGAGAATTTTGGAGGACCCATTATCAGCTTTCTTCCATTTTTTGCGCCGCAGGCGAAAATTTTGAAAAATATGGAATAAAATAGTCAACAAAAATAGTAAAAATAAATATTTACAAAATCGGTATTTTGTCGGTATCCAACGCTAATCCCGATACCGATACCGGCCTCGGTATCGGTATCAGAAAAAACGGTATCGGGATTTATCTTTCGGTATCGGTATCAGTAAAATCGGTATCGGTATTCAAAGAGACCGGTATAATACCGCCCGATACCGGTCGGGATCCCGATACCGCTGAACCCTAAACTTATTATAGGGTTAAAACAAAAAATGAAATTAATTGGCTTTACAACACTAAAGGCAAAACTATATTCTTATTAGAAATTTTGGGATCTTCGGTAGGCTCTAAGATTAATCCTTTTTAATGCCGCATTTGAAAATCCTGGGAATTAACAAGTTCGAACGACTTATATAATCCTTAAATAATTTTGCTTTTTATTATTAAAAGTTTCTGACAAATTACAATTTTAGAATCATTGGTCTCTATTCCCCTATTATGGATTTATTTACTATATCGTTTTTAAAAATTATTTAAAATACTATTAACTTCTATCTTGATATTCCCCGCTTTGTAAACTACTCCTTCTAGTTGCCCCTCCACTGCTTACACCAATACTTGGTTCTCGAAGACTTGGCCTAATTTAAATATTAAAAATTAATTTAAATAAATTTTAATTACTTTCTTTCTCTTTTTTGCCATTTTGGGGGTAAAAGGAAATTATTACATCTAATTCTGTCTAAAAATAATTGTTGTTGTTCATCTTTATTTAATAACTCTTTTTCTATATTTTCTTCATCAAACCACCAAGAACGTGTTTTGAAACGCAAGGAACGAGAAATTGCTGCTTGACCAAAATTATGTAATGCAACGGTACAAACAATATAACTAAATAATAATTAGATATTTTAAGTTTATCAATTAATTAATTAAATTTGTTTTTATTAAAAGGTTAAATTGTTCAACTATATAACGAGCGAAAGCGCCTATTAATAACTGCCAGGAGGTCGCAGGATCGAAGCCTTTCCGGAATTAAACTCTTACCTCGCTCTTACTTTACTGAGTGTTCCTAATTTCGCCTGTCCCACTGTTTCAATTACCAAAAACAAGCTCCAGAATTTCTGTTCTAAAGCATTCCAAAAATAAAAAGATGTATAAAACTTTAGTCACTCTATAAAATTTTAGTAACTTATTCTTGTCATTATTTATCTGCCAAATCTAGTCACTTAATTTATCACAATATTATTAATAATTTAATCAAAAATTTAAAAATTTAGAATTTCATTGAGTCCAAAGAACCTGTCAGTTATTTTATTCGAATGAGAGAACATAATTGCATTGAAAATATTTCTAATTTTAAATTAACGAATGAATTAACAAATGAATGTTTGGAAATGAATAAAATTGTAAATGAAAAGGGGGGAGCTTTAATTAGCAGATATTTAATTAATGAAATAAAAGATGAACAATGGTGGAGACAAAGAGAGGAAAAAGCAATTAAATGGAGATATGCTTCTAGATTAAGAAGAATTGCTTTACTACATTATTTAAAATAAGTTTCATTTTTTTTTAAAATAAGTTTCAGTTTCACAAGCATTCATTTGTTAATTCATTCGTTAATTTAAAATTAGAAATATTTTCAATGCAATTATGTTCTCTCATTCGAATAAAATAACTGACAGGTTCTTTGGACTCAATGAAATTCTAAATTTTTAAATTTTTGATTAAATTATTAATAATATTGTGATAAATTAAGTGACTAGATTTGGCAGATAAATAATGACAAGAATAAGTTACTAAAATTTTATAGAGTGACTAAAGTTTTATACATCTTTTTATTTTTGGAATGCTTTAGAACAGAAATTCTGGAGCTTGTTTTTGGTAATTGAAACAGTGGGACAGGCGAAATTAGGAACACTCAGTAAAGTAAGAGCGAGGTAAGAGTTTAATTCCGGAAAGGCTTCGATCCTGCGACCTCCTGGCAGTTATTAATAGGCGCTTTCGCTCACCACGTACAGGTGATCTACCAATTGAGCTACCGGCACGCTGAATTCACCCTCTCTTTTAATAGATCTTAAACCCCCGCCTAGTGAGCGTCTCTTCCTTACAGTAATTATTGTACAGTTTTAAAAACGGTATATTGCGGATTCGATTTTAAGATCGGATCTAGTATAGCCTAAATTACCTTTTTAATTGCATTAATAAATTCAATAACAGATGATTCTTCTAATTTATTATTATTCGCATCAGATGACCTCCTTAGTTGCAACATTCTAGGCTCTCCATCCTTCCTTTTTGTGGATAACCAATTTAAAATTAAACTTAATATAACAACATTTTCATTATTTAAATTTGCAGAATCAACAGATTTTCTCTTAACGCGATTTGGGAAATTTGAGGAATTAACAAGAACATTCCACCGCTGACGAGCAGTTGTGGGTGTTGATGGAAGTTTTTGAATGTTGTTTGAAGAAACGGCCAAATTGGGATTCACAAGTTGCAACACCTTGTAAATTTCAAATATTTTTATATATTTGCAAGAACAAACATTTTTTAATTAAAATAAACAAAGAAAATCTACGGAATACCTAACTTTTAAATATTTCCATTTTTTGGACACAAGATTAAGTAATTAATATTTGCAATTAAAAAATATAATGAGTCATTCTATTAGGGGAATCTGTCTGTGTATTTAATTTAAAATATTTTTTACAAACTTTAATATCTAAAAATGTTGTAGGGAATTTAGAATTAAGTTCAGGTAACATTTTTAAATCCTCAATACGAATTCCCTCAATACTATTAATTGATGGAAGTAAATGACGTAAAACTTCGAATTGTTTTTTGTTGTTTATTTTTTTAGTTCCTCCAACTTTAGAATCGCTAACTAAATTAATAACAACATTATTAAATATTGGAGACATTCTTTGAACAAATTGGGCAACTTTTGAATCAAAATAACTAAAAAATAAAAATTAAAAATATCCAAATATTTACTAAAAACACCAAATTTCTAACGAAGTAAAATTTCTTATATTAACGGGCAAAGGTGCTTCGGCTAAAGGCAATTCAGAATCCCAACCCCTTCCATGCCAAGCATGTATTGTTGGAGCTGATTGACGTCTAGCTCCATATGTAGAACAATCAAATCGAAGGGTAGGCAAAGTAATTAATCCATATCTATGTAAATAACAGGCAAGAATTGTACAAAATCTTCTGTCAGAAAATTCTTCTGCCAACGAGGCTATTTCTTGACGTGTCAACAAAGCCAATATATCCATCCAAATATTTAAAGGAAGATCTCTTAATTATTAAATATTTTGCACTCCAAAAGTTATTCTCTGTTCTACAGATAATTTTTAAAGAGAGGGAAGCTTCCGTTATCTCTATCTTAAAACTCATAAACTTTTTCGTCTCTAAGGGTTTATGTACAATCGAGATCCGACTGTATTTAAATATTGTATATTTACACAAATATTTTACACAAATATGTATTTCTAGGAAAATATGAATACATAAATATTGGTTTTTAGATTTAAATATATTTTAGTATTTTACTATCATAATTAAGGAAAAATTACAGTTTCATGATGTCGTTATCCAATAAAGTGATATTTATTAATTAAATAGATTTCAGATCAAAAGAAATAGACTAAAAAAATTTTTCAAAATTTAAAATAAAAAGTAGTTAATAATAAATTAAAATCTGTGGTTTTTAAAATGATTTTAAATGATGAAAATTAATTAATAATTAAGTTAAGAAAATTTTTTATAAAAAGCAATTATGTAATATTTTTAAAACAAAATTTACTAAAATAAATATTTTGGGAATAAAAACTTTAACTGAAAATAGAAAAAGAATTTTAAAAAGTCAGTCAATCATTTGGAACAGAAAGAAATTCGAGATTTAAAAATTAAATTTTTTAAAAATATTTTTAGTAGATGAAATTAAATCTTTTAAGATTAAAGATAGAAAAACTATATTAAAAAAAATCTAAATTATTTATGTAAATGGCAAGAGAAAAATATAAACATGAGAATAGAATGGAACTTAAAATCTTTAAATAGAAAAATATAAAAATGATATATATGTAGTTTATGAAGTTTAAATGTCATTGCAACAATTGAAAAATGATGAGGATTGATTATGAGGGGATTTAAAATAAAGTAAAAAACAGTTGATATGTGGAAAATTTAAGTTAAAAAGAAATAAAATAATTTCTTTGAGAAAGAAAGACAATAAATAAACAGGGAATTTTTTTGTTAATTTCGAGTTAGTGAACGGGGACGAGGAAGGATTTTTACAGGGAAATTTCTGTAACTTAAACAAAATTAGGATATCAAATAATTTTTAACGAATTTTTTTTCAAAACGAAGAAATTTTGAAATTTTCAAGTGCACATGAAGTAATAAATTACCTCTAAAGCGTCATCGGAAAAAAGTTCAATGATAACTTTGGGCACGTTAGAAAATTTAAGTAAGTCCTACACACTGTAGACCTACACCCTGAAAATCTATACTAAAAATACTTTGACCCTGAAGACCTACACACTGAAGAACTATTCACTCTGAAGAACTACAACCTTTTTAACGCAAAATTTTTTTATTTCTTTACAACTCTAATAAGAGGATCTGAAGGGATTAAAGAGGATAATGAGGGAGATGCTGGGATTAAGGGGGATATCGGTGGATTTAGAGGGATATTGAGGGATAAGGTGAATAACTAAGGCGATTAAAAGGCTGCTGATATCCCGACATCCCTCCAAATCTCCTGAATAATTTAAAAATAAATAATTTAAAATGTCCAATTTTATTTTCAAATAAAAAAATTTATTTTAATAAAATTAATATTCTAAGATTGCCATAATTTCTTATATAAAAATAAATATTTCTAAAAATATCAAAACAAAATGAATTTAAATACAGAAAATTATTTAAATTGATAAATATAGACAAAAATTTTTGTTTAAGTTTATAAATATTCATGATCTAGAAATGCTTATAAAAAGGTTTTCTTAAAAGTGCTTTTAAAAAACTTTAAAAAATATTTTTAAAAATCATAGAAAAATGTCATTAAAAAATAAAATTAAAATTATTTTTTGTTTATTGTTAATTTTTAATTTAAATGAAAGTAACGAACAATGTGAATGTGAATGTAAACCTGAATTGGATATAGTAAAACCAGATAAAATAGAAGGACCTTTAACACAAGACTTTCAAGAATGGCTTTCTCAGTAAATATATTAAATAAAATTACACTAAAAGTCCTAAAGCCCCATTACGTAGAAGCACACCCAATGAAAATCATTGAAAGCAAACTCCTGGGGCTTTTATTGGGACATTTACTGTATATATGAATTAATAAATATTTTTTTACATTTAAAAGATTTCCTAATAAATTTTGACAGGCATGAATATTATGAAGATTTAGCTGGTTTTGGTAATTTAAATAGTTTTGGTGGGCGTAAATACAAAAATCAGCCGGTAAATATTAGAAAATTAAATTAGAATTAGACTTAATAAGAATCAATCTACATAAATATAGATATCAACAAAAAAAATTATCAAACTCATTGGGGTCTAATAATTAGTTATTGAAATTTTTATAATACCTTTAAAAAAAGCTCCGACTTTTTCTATTTAGGAATAAGTTCGGCTTTATTTCCTACTTAGAGCATATAATATATTTTTATAACTGACAAATGAGTGTACAAAACTTTTAGATAAATAAACGTCCAGTAGTATTTATTCATGGCAATTCTGATGGGGCGTTGGCTGGGCATGGTGGGGATTGGAACAGTGGATGGAGTAATTCAATTAGCTATTTTATGTCACATGGAGGATATACTACAGCTGAATTATATGCAATAACTTATGGAGTTAGAGATATTACAAAATCTATAGAAAAGTATTATAAAATTATTAAATTATTAAGATAATAATTTATAAATTATTAATAATAATTGATAAATATAGGTAGTTAAAAGATTTTTGTCCCGATTATTTTTAAACTAAAAATGCTTTAACAGCAGATAGAATAAAAAGGTTGTTTTAAAGTTCGAGTCCATTTAGAAGTAAAATTATGAGAAAAGATTGAACTAAGTAAAATTAAATATAAAAATTTTTAAAATTAAGATAATTCTTTTTATCCAAAAATTATTTTTTATAAAGTAAATTAACTTGCGGAACTGCTACAAGATTGAGAAGATTTGTTGATGCTGTTTTAGCATATACTGGTGCAGAAGAAATAGATATTATTGCTCATTCAATGGGTGTTACTTATGCAAGAATTATTATTCAAGGGAATATGTGGATTTTACATAGAGTAAAATTAATTTTTATTTGAAAATTAATTTTTAAGTGCCAACTTGGAGACCCTCTAAAAAGTAAAATAAATAAATTTATTGCAATCGCTGGTGCTAACAATGGCTTGTGTATTTGTGCTGATAGTGAAGGAGAAACAACTAACGATACAAAAAGAGTTCCTGCTTGCAGTAAAGAAGTATGGGGCTATTTAATATATAATTTAATTGAAAAAATTTAAAGTTTGGTTTCTGGACTGGTCCAAGCTGTCCAGAACATACAGATGTAAAACAGTGTAACAGCGACGATCTTATTCCCTGTTCAGATAATTATGGAGATATATTGAAAAAATTGGATCATTCAAATGATGATGCTAAATATATTGTAATAAATTTATATACCTATAGGTATTTATTTTTAATTAAAAAATAATTATTTTAGGCAAGTTTTTGGTCAACTAATGACACAATAATAGGCCCAACTAATAAGGCATATGGCTGGAAAACTTCAATTGTTGTTGGAACAAAAAAAGAAATTAAATATGATGGCCTTACACATTATACATTAAAAACAGATACTGTAAGGGATCAATTGAAAATACTTCAATTAGAATTATAATTGTGTGAAATTGAAGGATTAAAAGTGAATAAAATTACTTTAATTGCCTTAAATGTATTGTGATTTATCATAAATATAAATTAGAATTTGGATAGAGATCTAAACCTGTATTTCCGTAGAAGATTTATCCATCGAGTAAAATCACAATATAAGTTGTGATAACTGTAACACTAATTAACGGGCATACAAAATATTATAGGGAAGCATGTGAATGGGGTTGTGGTTCAAAACTAAGCTGAAAAACCGAGGATTTTTTGGGATCAAATATTTCCAAATGATTTCATCATCTGTCACGAATTTTTTTTATTATTCACGTGAATTGCTAGTCGGCTTTTTTAAAGTCTTTTTATTGGCATAAAAGTGCAATTATAGGCAATAAAGAAAGAGACATTAGGTATTTCAAAATATTTTTTAAATATAATATTTATTTATTCATTTATTTATTTATACAATTACCCAAAAAATAAAAAATAAAATGTATTTAATATTATTATTTAATTTAATTATTAATATTTTTTTAATTACAAATTCAACATTAATAAATGAAAAAGAAATATTTAAAAGTGAAGAATATAAAATATTTAATTTAAAAGAAAATGAAGAACATTTTAATTTATATAAAAATTATTTTTTATTTTCAAATAATAATGAATATTTAAAAAAACTTGAAATTGAATCTTTAATTAAAAGTTTTAGATTTTTTATTGAAAATGCTGCAGGGAAAAATATTTTAAAGGAAGAAGAAAATGAGGAGGAAGAAAATAAATTTTATAAAATTTTTTATTCATTTTTAAGTGAAAAATTAAAAGAAAATGAAGAAGCTAAAAAAGAAAAATATAAATTTAATTTAAATAAATTCAACAAAAAATTTCAAAAATTTTCAGAAAATTCTTTAAAATTAATTTTAAATATTTTGGAAAATTCAGAAAATTGGAAAAGAGAAAAAATATTTTGTGAATTTTTTAAATTTATTTTAAATTTGGTTAAAAATGAAAAAGGACTTTTAAATAATGAATATTGGAAACAATCTTTGGAAGAATATTCTATTTTGCCTAAATATGTTAGTGAAAAAATAAATTTAAATTTAATATTAAAATTGTACATAATAAATTAGAGTAAGATTAAACTAATTGTCTAGATAATTCCCAAATAAGAAAAAAGAGTATTAAAAATAAAATTAAAATATAATAATCAATTGATAATTAAACATAAAAACTCTTGCCATATAGATAATTATTTTTAACTATCATCACTAAATATTTAGTTAGTCTATCACTCCTCTACCCTTTATTTCCACTTAAATTTATTGGTTTTATTTTCACCATCGAAACAATTTAATTCCCGGATCTTCTAAAGTTCCAGGATTTAATTTTAAAGCCCATGCCGAATTTATTCTTATATTATTTAAAATAAAGACGGTGGAAATTTTATACGGAAATAAATAATATAGAACAGATTAGATTAAGAAATTCGATAAAATTAGCAATTCCTTTTTGGGGAATTATAAAATTTTTAATTTAAGGAAATGGATATTTTTAATAAAGAGATTTTATGCGAAACAGAAAATGAAATTGAGGAATTGATACAAATTTGTTTAAATAAAAACTTTTTAGAAAAACAAATTAAATATTCTCATTTTGATTCTCTCGACACTTTTCTGAGTAAAATAAACCCAAATAATTTTTCTTGTGATAATAATGTTAAAGCAAATATTATTAAATTAGTTGGGTATGAATTGTTTTCTAATTTGGAGTTTAAATATCCAGGACTTCTGATAATATGTAAGTACTTTTTAATTAATTTTTGTTTTAATTTGTATGAGAAATTAAAATTTAAATTTTGAATTTCTTACAAGAAGAATCTTCTATATTTTAAAAAAACAAATAAGATGGGAAAGAAATTATTATTAGCATGACTAAAATGAATAAATTCGTTATTAGATTCTCTCATTAAGATTGGATTGAAATTTTTATTTCCATAATTTTTAAATTTATAAATTAAAATTCAATTAAATATTTTTAGCTTATATCGAACCAGAATTCCGATGGTATTTATATAAAAATATTTTATGGCTAGAATCAACAGAAATAGAAATCCACACGAGTGAAGGACTATATTTTACAGATTTACATGTCCGAATGAATATTTCAATTTTGTTAGGAAAAGTTGAAAAAATAGAAAATGCTCTTTTGTCTTTTTTGGAAATAAATTCAGAAAAATATAAAAATTTAGAGAAGGCATTTAAAAAAATAAAAAAAGAAATATATAAATATATGAAGGATAAATTATATTATTCCTTATATTTTTTATTCGAATGTGTTAAATTCCTTTCTAATAAAACTAAAGAATTTCGAAATTTAATTAAAATAGAAGAAATTAATTTAATTATTGAAGAAATTAATAAAAAAATAAAAGAAATTATAACAAAATTAAATTTAGAAAATGAAGTAGATCCTGAATATATTGGAAAAATTGATGAAATTGTAAATCAGGATCATTTAGATTTTTTGGATGAAAAATTTAAAGAAAACAAAAATATTTTAGAATTAATAAAAAGTAAAAAGGGAACAACTTTCTTTCTTTTATGTTTTCTTGAGGAAAATAAATCTACAGAAAAATTTATTAGAAAATATGGATTATTTGATGATAACGGTTTAAAAATATTTTTTATTTAAATTAATTATTAAATATTAATAAAATTAGAATATGTATTATTTAAATAAATATAATTAAAAATATTACTAAAATTGTGTTAGTTAACAAAGTTTGTATTTTGGTTCGGTTGTTATGGAATGATGGGATCTCTAGTTAAATAAATTAAATTAAGAATGGGAAATATTATAGAAATTTATTTAGTATATAGAATATTTTAGGAATATTTTAGGGTAGCAGGGTACTTATGGACAAAAACCCTGCCCTGATCCCAGACAGGGATCAGGTTCAGATCAGTTCAGATCAGGATCAGATCAGCAAACCTAGATCAGAAAAGTCCGCCGCGAGAGAACATTGTCGTAAGGCTATAACCGACTAATTTTTTTAATCCGTGACGTTTTAAAATGGTTTGATACAACTTGATGAGCTAAATTAAACACTAAATTTTATCGAAAAAAAGTTAACAAAATCGGCACCTAAGCAATTTCAAAATAAAAAAGATCCCAATATGTCTGCCAGAATATTTATTAAAAAGCTTAAAGTTTCATTTGCCTTTCAGATTTTCTAGAAAATAAACAAATAACAAAACATTATGTTGATATATTAACAAACAAAAATCCAATTATTTATAAAATAAAAATTATTATGGCAGATTATATTATTTGGTTTAAATGGGTTAATTTAATGATTAATGGAAATGTTGAATGGAAAGATCCTGATACAAAGTTAACAATGAATATTAACTTAAATGAAAATAAAATGAAAATACATAAAAATTATGAATATTTATTTGTAATTAATGAAGCGGAAATTGAAAATGTAAAAATAAATTATTTGGGAATATTAGAGGAATTTAGAGATTTAATTGAAAATAAAATGAAAGAAAAGAAAAATGTAAGGAAGATTTTTAATTTTTTAAAAAATTAAAAAAATTTTAGAGAAAAAATAAGTCAGAAAATTTAAATAGAAATTTAAAAATTGTTGAAGAATGGACAGATATTGATAATAAAAGATATTTTTCGTATATAGAGAATGGTTATGACAAAAAAGATTTAAATAAATTCAAAAATTGGTTAAAAGCCGAACATTTTAAATTAATAAATAAATTAATTGGGGAGAAAAATAATTATTTAATTGAAAGTTTGTTTTTACTTTTATTTCTTTGAAGTTTTAAATATTTTTATAGAAATTTAGTTATTTGACCACTAAATCTTTTATTGGTCAATTAAGGACGGTAGTAGGGAATGTGTCGATACAATTCCCGAAATCTGGAATTTATTTTGATGTAGGCACGTTCCCTGATTGATAGCCGCGGAGACAAGGAGGCAAAAACGTGTCAACGAGATTTCAAAAACTGGAGAAGGGGAGGGAATTTTTGGTAAAACGGGGAAGGAAATCAAATCCCTGTACCTGTTTATTTGAGAATGGGTAAAAATTCTAGTGTCAATATACATAATACACAATCAAAATTTATAAAAGAAATTTTAAGTTTTTAATTCTTTTAGCAATGAAGGAAATAGAAACAGAAAATCTTTTTAAAAATTACAAAATCTTGTAAGCATAGAAAATAGTAAAAAAATAATAAAAATGATTGAAACTGAGAAGGAAAAAGAAAAATTAAATTTAAAAAAATTAAATAAAAAATTAAAGAAAAAAGAAAATAAATTACTAAAACCTTCTCCAACATTTTCAAATAAATTAATTGAAGAAAAAGAAGAAAATAAAAATGAAGAAAAAGAAATAAAAGAAAATAAAAAGGAAGAGGAGGAAATTATAAAATTAAAATATTTTATTGAAAATAAAAATTTATTTGAATTAATTAAACAAAATATTGAAGAAGAGGGAGGGGGAAGGGGAAAAGAAGAGGAAGGAGGAAAGGGAAAAGAGGAAGAAGGAGGTGGAGAGGGAGGAGGAGAAGGAAGAAAAGTA